TTGGGTCCAGGGCCCCCTTGACCAACTATCTTCTTTCTGCGGCACCCCTGTGAGGCTCAGGAGCCCAGCTATGTCACCCCTTGCCTGCAGAGTTGGTAGCCTCTCGCCCTTTTTCGAACACCCTCCATTGGGGAGTGTTCACTCAGCCTTCTCTCCTCTCCCCTCTCCTTGGGAGTCCTCTGGGCAGCTGTAGCTGCCGCTCCTGGTCTCTGTGCTGCCCCCCCCCCCACTCTAAAGAGAGCTGCCTCCTCACATTGCCCCACAGGGGCCTGGGAAGCAACCCCTGGCCAGCCCCAGAGGCATCATTTGCCTGGGGAGCTTGTAGCCAGGGCTGCTGCACAAACAGCTGTGCAAGCCTTTGTGAGGCAGACACGAGAGAGCATCAGAGGAGAGAGGGAAGGAAAGAGGGACAGAGGCCAGTGTTGCCCACAGCACCCCTGACCATCATTCAAGGTACCCCAGGGTGCCACGGCACACTGCTGGAAAACCACTGGACTAGAGCCTAATTCAACAGACATGTGTGTGATCCACATTTGGAAGATGCCCATAATATGTAAACTGTGGAGCCAAAAGAACATTAAATGTAAGGGATAGCAACCAGTCTGTGACATTTCTATGTGGAGCCCAGCAAAAGCAACAAGGCAGAGCAGTGAGTGTGAATATCTCATGTGACTCCATGGTGCAGTTCTGCCATTTTAGACTCTGGACTTCATAAATCTTCATTGTCTGAACTGAGAGAACCATGCGGAATGGAAAACCCAAACAGGAGAAAGCATGATCAGGTGTTCACACTGCAGCAAATGGGCTGTTGCGCAAAACCTTTTTGGAACTGTGCCACAATGGAAAACTGCAAACGATATCAGAACTGCAATGCATCCCTTTGCCAGCAAAATGCATTAAAAAAGATTCAATAATGTGCAAAAAGTGCATGGGGAAAAAACAAGAAATCCCTAAGGCAAATGGTGTGAGCGCTGGTCCTTGTTGTGTGCACAAAGATTAAGTTTCTTATGGCCCATCTGCTGGGGAAAGAGGCAGCTAGCTAAGCTATCATTGAATAGACCAGGGATGGGGAACCATTTTGGGCCCAAAGGGCCACATTCCTTTCTGATCAATCTTCCAGGGGCCACATGCCAATGGTGGGTGGGGCCACAGGTAAAAGTAAGCAGAGCAAGGAATGTAAATTTTACCATTGTCTGGTAGCCTAGTTTTTGCACACCTCTTTCCTAAGGCCTACCTCTCTATCCTCCCTGCAGGCAAGGAAGAAACATTGTTGAGACTGATTTCAGCCAGGCAAAAACACTCAAGGAGGGCCAGTGAGGGCTGAGATCCAGAGAGAGTTCAAAGGTCCAAATAGAGGGCTGGTGGGGTGTGTGTGTGTGTGTGTGTGTGTGTGTGTGTGTGTGCAGCATCCCCCCCCCCAGGCTTGAGGTTTGCCATCCTAAGGAGAACCTGTGGGATACACAGATGGATGGAATTTCAGATGTACAACTGGCACACGTAACTATTTTATTCACATTTTTAGAGGTTTATTTGTACAGTTGGTAATGGGATCATGTTCTCTTTTTCTACAGTGTGACATGTTCTCGTTGAGAATGCTTTTCCTGCATGTAATCTGTGTAATCTGTTCTGGGTTAGCTAAGTGCATACCTGTCTTCTTTCATATTTCATTCTTAACTATGTTGTTTCTGACCTGCTCTTTCTGGGTTAATAAAAGTGTGCATATGTGTGCAGCTGGATTCTCTTCCTGTTGTTAATTATTATACTAATATTATAGCCATGAGGAAATATTGAACGTTATGTCAAGGGCATAAGCTGAGGGCAAAGCAAAAGCCACAATCCAACAAATGGTAGTTGCAACATGGTCATGGCTTCTCCCAAAGAATCCTGGGAACTGTAGTTTGTTAAAAATGCCGGGAATTGCAAACCAGGATATTCTCTGATGTTGTTTAGAGCTAAGAGAGTGGAACATTAATTCCCCCTTCCTTGAGAAAAGGATGTACTCAAAGGGCACAAAGCATTTTTGGAGTAAATGACAAATAAGATGATTAATGACTACACAAATCAGTCATTTATAGTCTGTAATTTAAAACCATTTTGCATCTGCAAAACAACTTCACAGGGACTCCATTTTGGGCTTCCCAAAGGCATCTCTTTGGCTATTATGAGAAAAGGATGCTGAGCTAGGGGCGCCATTGACCTGACTCAGCAGGGTTCTGCTTATGTTCTTACAATTCCAATATGGGAAGCATTTGCTGCACTGGGTTGAAGGGTGAGGTATAAATTTAATAAGTAAATAAACTGAAGAGAGATCTGGGAATAAACAGACAAGGAAAGGAAGGGAGCAGCATGAGAGTCAAATGACCGAAACCTTCTGTAGCAGTATCACAATAAACAGCACCCACAGACAGAGGAAAGGGCAGATTGTTCATTCCCCCCAGATAAAAAGTTTGATAAAGATGAGAAGTTCAGCAGTTTGCTCCTGGATTTTTTTTTTATTATTCCGATAAATTTTTTCTTTATGTGGCTGTAGTCAATTCGAATTAAGGCAACAATTCCCTTCTGTTTGTGTTATAGATACTTCCTTCTCTCGTTCCCTCCCCCTCTTAGTTAGATGCTCCATGGAAACCCAGATGAGACAACAAACACAGATTCCAAAGTTCAACCCAGCAATACTGCCAAAGAATGGGAGAGATAATATATGGTAATAATAGCAAAGTACAGCTGTATAACTTTCCCTAATGTGTGGCCCTTATTTGCCAGGGAATTCTTTTCTTCCTCACCTTGAATATGGACCTTCAAGGAAGTTGGGTATCAGCAGCAGCTGATTTCATCAGCTGGATGGCAGGGGAAGAGACACTTATGGGAAGTTGGTCGGGTGATCACTAAAATATATAGGACCAGGACTGTTTTTACTTTCAAATGTCAGTACTCTGAATTATACCTGGAACGAGACTGGCAAGCAATGGAACTCAGTAGATAGAGTGTAAGGTGCCATGTTTTCCACTAACTGCTGTTTCTGAACACCTTTCGGCCCTTATGAGTTCCAAAACTCCCCTCTTCCTTCAGCATATGAAAAGACAACATGTTTGATAAGTTAAAAATTGGTATACTTACAAATTCTTCAAAGGTCAGGTTCATGTGCTTTTCCATACATCAGTCAAAAATGTTGTACAATCAGTAAAACTAGGCTTAGTTGTACAGTGGTGAAAGTTCCTAAATTATTGGTATAGATACAGAATAATGGTTTGTGAGAGCCATGTGAGAGCCTCTTCACACGTTGAGCTTCTCGGGTATACTGAGGTTCAGCAATAAGTTCAATTACCTTCCTCCCAAGTAGCGAGGGAGGGACCTAAACTAAACTGGCAGAACAGTTTATTCTATGGCCTTAACCCCTGTGTTAATTAGACTTAAGCATGTTGGTTATGAGACTGATTATCCCATACCCCCAACCTTAGATCCATGGAGGCCATTGAGCTCCCTCTGTGTATTAGATTTGTCAGTCTGTCTTCAATTTTTTTCTTTTGATTATAAGACTCCTCCTTGGCTAGAGAGGAGCTTAGTCTATGTAAGCTTCTTACACCAAGAGCAGGCATCCCCAAACTCGGCCATTCAGATGTTTTGGGACTACAATTCCCATCATCCCTGACCACTGGTCCTGTTAGCTAGGGATGATGGGAGTCGTAGTCTCAAAACATCTGGAGGGCCGAGTTTGGGGGTGCCTGACCCAAGAGGAAGAGGGATGAAAGCAGGAGAATAAGCCCAGCTGGCCCAATCCTTTCCTCTCTGCCTCATCCCACCTATCAGCTCTCCTTGTCTTTCATTCTCCCTACAGCCATCTGTGTGTGTAGGAATCACATGGTGGCCAATTTTTTTAAAGCCTCATGGCATATACCAGGGGTGGCCAACTCCCAAGAGACTGTGATCTACTCACAAAGACTGACATTGATCAAACTTGTTGAGCTTTTTCTAGGAAGGAAAGCCCTGTTTTGGGGGGTGTTCAGGGAAAAAATACTTCTTTGGGGGGAGCCAGTGATCTACCAGTGATCTACCACAGACGTCCGGTGATCTACCCGTAGATCATGATCTACCTGTTAGACGTGCCTGGCATATACTGGTTTTCCAGAATTTTTTCAGAGAAAATGTAAAACGAAACAAAAAAACACATGAGAATGAATTAGATAGAGGGGGCTGGTAGTGCAATTACAGTTCATCAGAGAGTAATAGAAAATATAAATCCTATAAGTGTGTTTTTGGTTGGCATCCCCCTGTCTGGAGAGACAATGGAGTGTACCTCCAGGGGTCAAGTCAAACCACTGGCGAATCACAGCACCTGCTGTGGCTGCAGAGACTGGTAACTCATAATTGCTGTCTTTTGTGTTGCTTTTGCTGTGTTAGTAGCACCAAAGTGATGTATATCACTTAAGATTCTATGCACATTATACTTATTATAAAGGACTTTAATAAAATTATATTATTTAAGGTCTCAAACAGAGATAGCATTTCTTTAAAACAAAAAAGCACCAATCTAACAGTCATTAAACTATATTTACCCCTCTACATAATTATCACAGCCAAGTCTAAGCATATGACATGATTAGATGTTAATATATTTCCTTTCCTCTGACACCTGCAACCCATCTCACAGAGAATAGTTTAATTTTCTTCAACTCAAACAGAACATATATTAACATTGACTTTTCTGCCCGATCACATGATTTATCCATTCTTTGATCACTGGAGTGTCTCTGTCTCCCATATTCTTCATATTTTCTTTCTTGCTGTCACAATCATATTAACGGCCAATTCCTGATCTATTTTTTTATTTCAAAAAGTTGCTTCTATAAGCCAATAAGAAAAATTGCAAATCCATTATTCATGCTTTCCTCCCTCTTCTCATATATCAATAATTCTTAGCTGAAGGGCAATTCTGTCACAACTGGGGAATTTCCCCCTCCCATTTCGACACTTTCATCAATTATTGCTACCTTTTTTTTGTTTATTTTATTTAATTTTGTTAGTGTAATACACCATGGTACCATCCTTGTATAGCACCAGGTCATCATTTTGAAATTGATCCCTTGCAAATTATGCACGTAAAGAATGGCAATATGATGTTTCTCTGTCTCCTCCTGTTTGTTTAATGCTTTAAGAGAAGAGCTTTGTGAAACTGTTGGTGGCCATAGAATCAAATGTTTGACTTCGCCTTATAGAATAAAAACTGCAATACCTTGAATAAACGTCATGGAAAATAACAGCAGTTCTGCAGCACAATTCTATGCTTACTTACTTAGAAGTAAGCCCCATTCCTCATCATTTCTAGGGCAGGTGTTGGGAGCCTTGTTGGGAGATGTTGTTGGACTCCAGTCACACCAGCCTCAACCAGCATGGCGAAACGTAAAGGATGAAGGGAGCTGTACAGCAATATGTGGTGGACCACAAGTTCCCTTTAAACCTTTTCTAATTTAACGAGGTCATGATAAGAATGCTTTACGCCCAGGGATGGAAGAGAAAACACCAGCTAAAGAAGAGTGGATTATGAAGACAATGGAATACGCTGAAATGGCAAAGATGACTGGAAGAATCAGACACCAAGAAGAAAACAAATTTAATACAGAATGGAAAAAGTACATAGATTATATTAAAGAATATTGGAAACAAAGACGTTAGTAGGATTTTCACAAAACTTGTAATCTGCAAAAAACAAAAGACTAAAAAAAAAAGATTAAACCAAAATTAGATAAATGTAATCAAATGCGGTAAAGATTTTTTTTTAAATGTACATTTTGAAAACCGGGGTGCGTGGTGAAGTCTGGGGGTTCAGAGAACCCCAAGTTTGTATCAGTGTTATTTGGTTTGAATGGATGTTTATAATGTTAAAAAATATGAAAAGAAAAAAGAGAAAAAATAAGGTCATTATCACAACCATAGGCTGCAATCCTATACTCATCTGGAAGTAATCCCCATTGAATTCAGTGTGCCTTATTTCTGAGTAGTCAAAGGGCACTGTTAGTTTGTTACCAACTTTGCAGCAGCCCACATGTCATGTGAAGACTTGAAGTAGCTTATCCCCGGCAATCCATGGTGGAAGTGGGATGAATTCAGGCCCACCCAGTGGACCATATTGGCAGTCCTGACACAATTAGACATTTGTGAAGGAGATGGCAATCCCATAAACTACTAGCACTATGTTTCTCCTGGTTTGAAACAACACTTCTGTAAATACTATCCCAGCTTTGCTCATTAAAGAGCTTATTCCAGATGGGCGGGGGGGGAATAATAAAACTATTATTATTATTATTATTATTATTATTATTATTATTACGTTCTTCCAGATGTTGGTTTTAGCTTGGATCACACCAAGCTGGACATCTCTATGTTGAACAATATGAGTCCAAAGATACTAGCAGGATTAGCACCAGTGGAACAGCAGCCATTGCTTAGAAGTAAACTAGCAGCAACCCTAGCTGAGCTCACTGTGCCGGTGATAACAGGTACATCTTCTACAAGCCATTTCCTATTTTGTGTTGGAAGGTGGTGGCTCCATTTGAATTGGCTGCCTCAGGGATCAAACTGTTTTGGGTTGGTCCTGGCTGCTGTATATTAATTATCATACTTGAGTTGAATGATCCTAACAATTCCGTAAGATGTTGTTATCTATCAGCTTTATGCTTGGGGAAGGTGTGATATATTACCAAAGAGACAAGGTTGCACACTGCCCTTCCCGGTGAATGCTGCTCATTAATTGGCCGAGGTCATAGGAAGAAGCTGCAGAAGCTTGGTCAGAACATAGTTTAAAACAGTCAGCTCTATCACAGAATCCTGGACAATATTTCACCTACAAAAAAACACCATCTCCTTCTGTGTCCTGAAGATCATCAGTAGAATCAATTTCTGGGAGTTGAGCTCTTCCTAGAGTGAAGGACCTGTCACTGCCACCTCTGCCACTATCGCCAACTTCATTGTCATCAGCCTGGCCATCAGCATTGTCACTGTCACTCTCATTCCCTTTCTGTTCTGTATCGCTGTCATTTTCAATCATCAAAACATCATCCTTAGCTTCTGGGTCAATGTCTTCTTTAAACCACACTGCTTTGTAGCCATCGTCTGACATCCTTCTGTCTTTAGTGAGGATGGATCTTACTTCCTTTTCACTGTCTGTGTCGCCGTTGCCTTCTTCACCTTCCTTGTTCGTTTCAGAAGCTGCTGATTCCTGGCTGCTTTCCGCTGTCTCCTCCAAAGGAGGCAGGGTGCCTGACCGCTTCTCTGCAACCGGTTTGTCGTCTTCAGACTTCACACTTGCTGGCAACTTATCCTCCTTTCCACCTGAGTTAGGTTTCTCATCGCTTTCAAAGCTGCTGTTGATCAAGCCTTTAACAGACTGCAAAAGAGGGACATTTAATGTTCATACTGATGGAAAGGGAAGTGAGGTGTGTAGAGAAGGATCATCCACATTAGAAATGATTGGGCCTAATCCCCCTGTGGTATAATTCAATCTAATGATTAGCAAAATCACACAATTCATTTCTGCTTAGTATGTTTGCCATGTTTATATATTTACATATTACATACAAATGCTTCATGCAATACCAGGCAGAGAATGCTGAGAACTCACAAATGTTGTGTAGTGGCTGATGCTCACATGGCAGCACCAACTTTTCCTTCTGTTTCTGCTTGACAAATTGCAATACCAGCTCAACATACTAGCTTGTGTGATGTAACTGATGTACAGGTGTGATTTTCCAATGACTCATTGCGTATGCAGTGAAGAGTGGACTAGGGATGTTTTTAAACAAGGCTCTTACCTTTCTTTGGGTATTTTTGTTGTCATTGGCCATCGTTAGAACATGATAAAAGCATAAAAGCTCACAAATTCCTGCACTGCAGTTCTTCACAACTAAGGCTTGTACTCTCACTCCAAAATCAATGTATAGCAAAAGGTCCACTTACTTCGCTGTCTTCTCCATATCTTTGTTTTAGTTTGTAGTACTTGTAGGAGACCAGTCCAAGCAGCACTAATGTGACTAGCAGTAAACATCCCAAAGTGGTGCCCACAGCAGCCATGTCCTCTGTTCTATACTGACAACTCTGTTCTGAAAACAAAAACATAAAACAGTAGCCTGATATTGGAAACAATCTCTAGAAATCCCCATTGAAATCTGGTTAAATAATATTTGGAATGTAGCTTTATTAGCATGCCTTGCTTGCCACAGAAGGGTAATTAAAGGCACTTCAAGGGTAGGCACTTTTGGGGAGACTTGGCTTCCTCCCTTCCTTTTCTTTTATAAAGAGATACTTTTATTCCATCCTCAGCACAACAATCTCTGTGGAGAGGCTACTTTAATGGATAATACATACAGTAAACAAATGTACTGCTTGCATACTATGTACTGCATATGGAACTTAATAAGAATGTACTACTGAACAAGTTACTGTAGTTAGGTGTTGTTCTTGTATTTAAATGAAAAACAATTAAAAAAAATCATTGGGCGAGGGAACATCCTCCTGAATATAAGACTTAAGGTGTAAGACAGGTGGGTGTGGATAACAGGTTTTAGAGGTTGCAATGTCATTACTTCCTCCTCTTTCCTTGATGGTCTCTTGCAGATTCCATGATGCAGTATATATAAAAGTATCCCTAGCATTTCAGTTAATGTATCTAACATTGAACTAGTCACCAGCAGATAGCTATGCTCCAAGTTTCTATCCAATCAGAAACACATGCCAGCGTTTTCTTAGGTTGACTTGGATTTGCCTGCCGTAGGAATTTGCCCTTTCTCATTTCACACTTCACATCCCTATTAACTACCAAGCTATCGTTTTAAAGCTTTGTGGCGATTAGTAAAACCGTGACCAGCTATCAGTTTCATGTCTGTAATCTCCAGCAGTGTGGACTTTGACTATTGCCTGCAGGTTTCTATTACTTCTAAGAGTTTATCATTAATATGAAGTGAAAGGACTAGCACTTCACCTCTCAAAAATAGCCAGTATCACACAACTTCAGAAGTGCTGGAATCAAGATACTGCTTGCTAACTGATTTAGGAAAAAATGATATATTACATGAATTCTTAAACTGACTTCATGAGAAGCCATTTTTGGAAACAACCCAATCAATCCATTTAAAAATTGACACTTTTTATTGTTCTGGAACCTTAAGTTCCAAGACAATATCCATCTCCCCCCCGCACTTGTGGCTGGGGAAACCCAGCCAGATGGGTGGGGTATAAATAATAAAATGTTGTTGTTGTTGTTGTTGTTGTTGTTGTTGATGATGATGATGATGATGATGTTACAATTGTTTTGCCACTTTAAATGCATTTTGCTTATGTGGTTTATCTCTTGCTACTTATTAAATTAGGTTTTTTTCCCTCTTTAAAAATAAAACAATCTTTTGGAGAGAGCAAAAGCCAGAAGGGTGGCTGAGTTTTAAAAATGGAGAAGCGGGATGCCTAGTTCAGTGGTAAATGACATACTCTGCAGGCAGAAGGGCCCAAATGAAATGCAATTTAAGGCTCTCCAGCAGCAGGGTCCATAAAGACTTCCCAACTTGAGACCCTGGAGAGACACTGCCAGTCAGCCAAAGGTGGAAACCATGGTGGGTTAGAGCAGGTATGGGGAGCCTTTGGCCCTCCAGATGTTGCTGAGCTGCAGTTCCCATCAGTCTCAGCCAACATGACCTATAGACCACTGCTCTTGACAGTTCATTAGTTCAAACACATACCCTCCAATGTGCCACAGAGGAAAATCGGAACACACATATTTCACGGTTGTGCTGTTGCAGGAGCCTTGTTACTCACACAAGAGCGTGCCCCCCCCCACAAATGGGCATATTTTGTTGCCACATTCTGATGGGAGTCAAAATGGGACACTCTGGGATCCAGTCTGAAGCCAAGATGGCTTCTGTAATTCTGGGATGTCCCACTAAAATTGGGACAGTTGTCAGGTATGCAAACATTGAACGCTAAGCACAAGGCTTAGGCCCAAATCTGCACTGTACATTTAAAATTCATCTCTCTCCCCCCCACCCAAGAATCATGGGACTTGTAGCTTGTTAAGGTTGCTGGGTAATGTATGGTGTGGATGTGACCTTACAGAGCCTCAACAGAAAGCCCAATGAAGTCAACTAGGGCAGGGAATCAATTGTCTTTTGTAGGACAGGCTCTGAACTCCACTGCATTCATTACAGAAAAGAAATAACAATTTAACAACAGACATACACTCAAGTAGAATATTGTTTGTTGCTTATATCACCTCTTAAGTACCAGGAAGTGTTTGAAACAGGGGTAATAGCAGCTATAAATATACAAGAGTACAGTGGTCACTCGGGTTGCGATTCGCCGCGTCTGCGCATGCACAAAGCACAATTTAGTGTTTCTGTGCCTGCGCGAGCACTGAAACCCAGAAGTAACCCGTTCTGGTACTTCCGGGTTTCAGTGCGTCCGTAACCCAAAAATGCACAACCTGAAGCGTCTGTAACCTGAGGTATGAATGTATTAGGTTCAAAATCTTTCCAGACACATTGTTTCCCCTGGTGCTTTACTCAAAACAGCTCCCATCTAAAACCTACAATATCCCAGTGCCTGCAAAACTGATGAGAGGCATGCTTTGCTATGACTATGGAAGAGTGGCTATGTTGCATGCATTAGGTCCCAGATGTAGCCCTCAACATCTCCAGCTAAAGCTCGCAAAGACTCTTGCCTGAAATCCTGGAGAGCTGCCTGTCAGTGCAGGCGAGGCTTTCCCAAACTTGGGTCTCCAGCTGTTCTTGGACTACAGTTCCTATTATCCCTAACCTGTTAGATAGGGATGATGGGAGTTGTAGTCCAAAAGCAGCTGAAGACCCAAATTTGAGAAACCCTGGTGTAGACATTTCTGAGCTAGATGGACCAGTTGTCTGACTTCCCAAGGTTGCTTTCTATATTCCTATGGGAGGTATCACCTGACTCTGTATGGAAATCCACTTTAGAGAGGAACTGCAAAGCCTTTGGAGAACTACATTTAAAGAGGCACCAGGCAACAGGTCCACAAAATGGTGGGGCACGGAGGATTGGCACTGTCCCTCTTTTTAAAGAGAGAAAAAGGAGTGCTCCTGTGTTTGAGTGATACAACAATGGAGAGCTCAGCCTCTATTGATTATTTTTTAAAAATGAATCCAGTCTCTCAATAGCGTGCAAACTTTATTGCCCTCCTACCTTCCCTCCTTCCTCTCTCCTATAGAAGGGAAGTTGGGGGGGGGGTTATGGAAAACAAAACATTTCAAAGGTCAGCAAATGACGCAGGCCTTGGAAGAGTGGGGTTGTGTTCCTGATGTCAGCCCTTGACTCAGGCTAAATAAACACCATACATTTAAAATCACGCGCGCACACACACACCAAATCTGGAAACTGTAGCTCTGTGAGGGGCAAACTACAATCTCCATAATATATATATATATATATGGGGGGGAACCATGTGTTTTAAATGTATGGTGTATATGCAGTGATATGCAACTACATTCTTCCACTCTGCATTCAGATAGCAATAGGCCACCTTGATGGCGGAAGAATTACATTTTCCCAGGGGTAATGTATGGTGCCTAGGATTCCAGAAAGGTATAATGCCCATTCCTGACATTGCTTTCCTTCTTTCTCTGAAAGCTACCATGACTCCTGCATTGCAGGGGGTTAGACTAGATGACCCTTGGGGTCCCTTCCACCTCTACCATTCTATGACTTCATTTGCCCCTGTTATTTCACTTTAAAAGTCTCTGGCACATTCTGTCCTACCTGTCAATAATATTTTCAGTCTGTTGCTTTCTGCTGCCTCTTTTCTTACCCATTCTTAACTGGATTCCACCCTGCTCTATCTGCAAAAAATACATCTCATGAAGCCCCGGCAGTAACAGTAACAGCTTCCAGTGGAGCTCACGCCAAAGAAGCAGGAGAAGGAAGTTTTAGCCCTACCCGGGGGAGAGAGACCCTACTGAACCACTCATATTTTGCATGCTAAATACATACATACATACATACATACATACATACATACATACTCAAACCTGCACTGCATGCAGTTCTACACAACACCCAAGCATTAGACACATATGGGATATTTATCTGCCTTCCACCTACTTCCCCAACACCCCATCACACATACCAGGGGTTCAGGGGCTTTAGGAAGAGGCCTATTTGGGATGGATAGCTCATGTTTCACATGCAGGGGACCCCAGGCTTGAATTCTAGGGCAAAGCCCAATACGAATGGGAGGGGGTGAGTCCTCACACCTGGGCACACCTGACCTAACATGCCATATGAGCTAATAGATTCTGCATTGACCAGTTGGACTCTTTGGTCCACTCCCTTCCCCTGGTAACCTACCTGACCAACCCATACACACTCCCTGCTATTTTTCCTGCTAGGCTAGTTCTGCCAGGTTCCAGTAAGATACATTGCCTGAGCCTCTTCTGTCTCGCAGAACATTCAGTTACATGGGTCTCCTCCCACCCCTTCCCCACCTGAAATGGTACAGGCCAGACACAGGTTTACTACTTCAGTGTGAACCAACTCTCAAACGCATCAGGAGGTATAGTGGTCTTACCTTACACAGAGAAATAATGCGAGCAACACTATCTCTAGTCACTTTGATGCCACCCTGGGCCTGATCCAGCTAAAATTAGTCGTGACTAAGCCCAAAGGTTGGCGGTTCGAATCCCCACAATGGGGTGAGCTCCTGTTGTGCGGTCCCAGTTCCTGCCAACCTAGCAGTTCGAAAGCACGTCAAAGTGCAAGTAGATAAATAGGTACTGCTCCGGCGGGAAGGTAAACGGCGTTTCCATGTGCTGCTCTGGTTTCACCAGAAGCAGCTTAGTCATGCTGGCCACATGACCTGGAAAAACTGTCTGTGAACAAACGTTGGCTGCCTCGGCCAGTAAAGCGAGATGATCGCCGCAACCCCAGAGTCGTTTGCGACTGGACTTAACTCTCAGGAGCCCTTTACCTTTTTAAAGCCCCATTCAAAGGAGCAGAATTTTTAGTAAGCCATGACTAAGCATTTGTTTCAAGTTTTTCACAATCAGTTTTAGCTGTATTGGGATCCCTGCATGTAATACCTAATGTCATGGCCTAGGCCCCAGACCTAGACCCTTCTCCAACAACAACTTGCTGAACCAGTCTCAAGAAGCTTTCTTCCATTGATGGATAACAGCCGCTGGGTGGGATGGATTCTAAAAGGGACTGTTAAAGCCACCATTCTTGTGTATCATGCGTCCCCACCACCTACGCTGGCTATTTGTGAAAGAAAACAACATATGCAGGACCAAACCACATGACAAATGTCAAGTATAGTCTGCCTCTGAATAACACATTTACTCTACGTCTTGGGCAACTTGTGGTGGTGGGTGTTTGAGGAGACACAGGTTCTGATAGTCTATGAGATGAATTACCTGGTGGCATGGACGTCGTTTGGTTGCCAGAAGATAAAGTTGTTATCGATAGGGTGATTGTTCTAGTTGCATCTCCTGTGGCATAGGTGGTTGTTCCATTATAGAGAGGTGTTGGAACAGTGGAAGAAACAGTCGTATCAGTTACTTTGGTGGTTTCTGTCTGAGGTGCCTTAGTAGTAGCTTGCCCTATATCATCTGTTGCTGGGCTCTCACCTGTTATGGGATGCTTTGTGGTAGTTCCAGCCTGAGGTGTATTTGCAGTCGACCGCTTGTCTGTTGCTGGGGTCTCACCTGTTATGGGATGCTTTGTGGTAGTTCCAGCCTGAGAAGGGATTATGGGATGTGTGGTGGTGGTTGCAGTCTGAGAAGAAGCTGAAGTAACAGTTTGGACCGTTCCCCCTGTTGCCGTGGATATGGAAGGCTCAGTTACTCCAGACTGAAAAGTTGTTTCAGCAGTAGATTCATCAGTCCTATCTGTTGCTTGGCTTATCCCAGTGATGGGAGAACTGGCGGTCTGGGGTTCTAAAGTGCTACCTGTGATTATGGGAGACTTTGTTGTAGTTACAAAAGGAGGGATGACTGAGTCAGATGTTGGGCCTGTTGCAGGCTTCTCTGTAATGGCAGTATTCCTGCTTGTACTTGCAGAAGGTGTTATAGGAAGAGTAGTGATTGTCCCAGGTGGTAAATCTGAAATATCTGAAATAGTGGTCCCTGCCCCTGTGGTAGTGATGGCTGTAGGAAGAATGGTTGGAGCTGAAAATGCATTAGGCCACGGTATTAGTTATTTTTCAGTGTTGTATCTTTACACCAAGAAACTGAACACCTTATTCATATGAAATGTACACAGATTAAGGCTCAAAACCATTATAAAATGGAGACAATATTGTAACAGCCCCTAGATGGTGAACCTTTATAGATCCCATGTAGACAAAATCATGACAACAGGTATTTTATCAGAACCCTGTGGTAATCTTATCAGACCCCTGTGGCTGTTGGCAAAGAAAAACCTACCGGTATACCCTTAGTTTTATGCTAGGAAAAGGGGTTAGTGACTAGTTCAGATCCAAAATCACAGACCAAATGTTTTGTAAAGGCACATTTGGACTGTCCAAATTAGGCTTTCAGGCTTGCTATTGATTTTTTGCTGGGCCAAGAATAAGGCTAAGGTCCCTTAAGCCATATAGCACAACACGCCTTCCCTGAGGTAACTTCCAGATGGCCTGTTAATTGAGCATTAATCTTGGTTGGTTTGTACAAAGTTTCTGGGGTGGCTATATAATGTCATATATTTATTGAACCTTCATTCTGTTTTGTTTGCAGGGAGGTTATACAACATCACATCAAACAGAAGAGGATGGCATGGTGGGGTGGCAGTGCTCTCCTGACCTCTGGCTGGTTGTGTTACTGCTGCTTACCAGGAAGTAGAAGGGTAGGGGCAAAGCAGTGGTAAACCTGATACAGTTTAAATGTATCAAACTTTATCATGCTTTTAATATTCCGTTGGGAGCCACCCAGAGTGGCTGGGGCACCCCAGTCATATGGGTGGCACATAAAATATAAAATAAAATAAAATGTAGTAGTTATTCTTACATTGGCTAAGCAAAGCAATTATTATCCTGCACTTTCCATGCATTTTCCTACCACTTTCCTTATGGCAGTACAGTATGTCCCATTGTTTTGAAAGTATGTTTGCTGAGCAAGAACACACACACACACACACCACTTTAAATATGTTAACTGAATTTGTTGGTATGTGGTTGAGCCTCCCACCCTAAACAGAGATAATCTGGAAGCAGACTTTTGCCTTAGTCTTTTTGAGCAATATCTGTGATCCTTATATTTCATCTACGCTGTATGTGCTAACTTACTTTCTAAAGGCTTGACATCTACAGTTATCAGGGTGCTGTCCTCTTGCAGAGTAGCTGTGTCATTAGCAATAGCCTGTGCAGACATGAAAGTGGATGTTAACCCTTTGCATAAACACATTTATTCTGTCAATCCATTTATGAAGGCACCAAATTAGTTAAGGGCTCTGAACAGTTCAAGCTTCTGTGCATTGGAGTGTGTAATCTATGCACTCCAGTTCTGCAGAACATGCAGCTGATGTCTACATATGCAATGCATAGATAGGTCTGGCAAGAGTGTGAAGCTAGGCAGCACAATTATGACTCCTACACACACACACTTATAAAATTAGGATGAAAGGGTTTCCTGTTTCATTTTGTTGGTTGACTTCATTAATATATCCTCACAACAGCACTCAAATAGAGCAAGGCCACTATTTATTATGAAAACCAACACCCACTATTTATTATGAAAACCAACACAAAATAGGTAGGATAGAAGATTAGACAATCTTCTGTTGGTGCAGTGGAATGCAAGCTTTTGAGTTACACAGAAATCTTACCATATATACCTATGCCTGTGTACTTCAAAAGCTTGCAGGACTTGGTCTAATAAAAGATACATAATATTTCCTAATTTGTGTTTCCAGAGTGTTTGGAACAAATATTGCCAATATTGTTACATTTTTTAAACAAATGTGATCCTGATCAGAATGTTAATAACTTTTGTGTCCTGGCTCCCATCTGTGTGTTTGGTTTTTTTTGTCCACTTTAAATTATCCATGACCAGACTCTCTTGGAGTGAGAAATAACAATGAGAGAAATTATGATGACAGCAGCCCATGTTTAAAGGGGCCTCTGGTGCCTTTTTCTAACATCAGACACTACAATCAAATTAATATAGCACTCAAATTTTGGGGGAATGATGACCTACCAAAAGGGTGACGGTGGAGGCCACATCCAAAACTACAGCAGTCAGGAGAAAGCCATCTACGGTAACTGTGAAATTTGTGCTGTTTTGGATTTGGTATTTGATATCAGGATTGAATTTCTGTGGATGGAGAATATAAAAATAGACTTTAATTAAGCACATGGAAGCCAGACAACAATTTGCCCCTATGCTCTCCACCCCATTCCCACCCTGGCTATGCAATATGCACCTAGTCACTAGTGCCAATGTCCTGGTTGTGGCCTTGTTTGTATCGGCTTCCCTGTTATTGTCAACATGGCATGTTTCCTTTCAGCCTGCCCCAATTATTTCCTCCAGGTTGTAGGGTATGTATCTGCCCCCGCCTTTCCAATCCTCATCTCTGCAACCCCTTCAACACAGAATAAGATAAAATAACCAAATAAACTGTACCACTTCTGACTTCCAATTTTATCAGGAAGTTCTGAATTACACAATTTCAGAGCATTATTTATTTGACAAAAGGTCCAAATTGAAAATGATCCCAGGGCATGATCTCAGGGCATGTGATACAGTTATGCTGTAAAAGCTCAGCTGGCCAGTGCTTGGCTGGGAAATGGCCTGGGAGCCCCATGTGCGTTGTGTTGCCTTGCATTCCATTATGGAAGAAAGGAGAGGGCATCAAATGTAAATCAATATTTGACCAAATAATTTTTAATGTGGGGGGTGGGGAGGGATCACGACAATTTTTTTCAAAAAAAAATTTTTGTGCCTGCAAAAGATTGCTTGATCCAAGTGGTTTTTATTTCAACTGTAGACAGGTGAGTGGCAAAGTGGGCAGGTCATATGCAGATCAGGGGTTTGAAGATTTGCACAAGTACAGACATTAGATCATAATGCTAAAAGAGATATGAGGGTCGTTCTAACCCTCCATGCATTAACTCACATGAACCTCACGTAGGAACCACATCTGATATCATTATTAGTATCTTAACATCTCTGCCCGCCTCCCCCTGCCCAGCACCCCAATGACCTTCAAAGGCATCTAAAGTTCCATACATCAGTGAAGTCATCATCCGCAGCAAAGATGCGTAGGGGCACTGAAGGTCTCCCAGCCTCCATGACCAGGCTGGGAACAGGCAGGCCAACAGACACAGTTCCTGCATAAAGGGATTTCTCAAAGTATGGCTTGTGGTCATTTCTACGCACAACCTTGATTTCCACTGTTGTTTGGGAATATCTGTATGGATTGTTGGTCTGGAAAGCCTGGAGAAAGAGAGAGCAAGAAGCACAAGAACAGTCATTCTCCTCAAGGGATAAAATGCAAAATGACTTAATGGAAAGTAAGCACGGGGTGGGGATGGAGTATGTGCTTGAGATCTGGGATGATAAGCTTTTCTTCCACTCTCTGCCACTGGCTTTTACAATGTCACCGAGTGTGGAGTGCTTCACCTTTTAGCAGACTCTTGTGGGGACAGAGTTGACCCTTTTGGCATTCTGCCAAAAATGCAGAAATTCAGTTTTGTAGCCTACATTTCTTAATCTAAGGAACTGAGGTGAGCAACATTTTAACCAAACACTTGAATTCCTACTACAAATTTTGGGAAGCTGTTTCTTTGTCTGTTCCCTGTGGGTAGAATCCAACACAGCATGGGAGAGAATGATCTGTTACGCAAGGAGAAATCTGTGCACACCCTAATTCTGTTCTAGGGATTCCTGAATCTGTTCCAAGGCAGGGGCATGTTTCATAGCATCATAGAGTTCCAGCTGTAGAGTTGGAAGGGTATGGTGGAGGGAGAGGGGGAGACCTCATTTCACAAGAGGATATCCTTGCACTGTTGGGACCCTGTCCTTGAATATCACTCTATGTACTTGGACACTTCTTAAGATATTGCTGCATGCCATCCCAATCTCCAAGTACTGCAAGATTTCAGGAGTTCCAGGGTTCCTGTTTCCTTTTGATTGAGGGACAGTGGAAACTGTTGTATCTTTATGATATATGGTTTGTTTACACACATATATGTACAATCTGAGCCTATGATGGACAGGTCAACATCATTAAAACCTCCAGAAAGGGTCTTGTTTCTACTGTAGCCATAACCTTGGGTTCTAACAGAAATCAAACATAGCTCTTTCTACCCCCCTACCCAGCCTGCAGCCTTGCAGGTTCCAGGTTCTAGCACATATAACTCGACTCTCCAGCTTGGCATTTGTATTTCTAACTACCAGAGAGTTAAGGAAGAGAGACCCACCCATTTGCTGTCTGGCACAGAGCCACTTCCTTAGTTACCATAAGAATCCAGACGTAGGTCATTACCTCATTGAGAAACCAGCCTGGCTATTCCAAGAATTTGAATCCTTGCTTAGATTTTTACACTTACTGGATCCAGGCTTTAGAAAGGTCTCTCAGCATACAAGCCTACCCTGCCACAGACTCATAACATGGTCATATGCATAATGGTTCCTGAGATCAAGAAGCAGGGTTTTGTTTATGTTTGGACACAATTTTGAATCAAGATAGCGAACTGAACTTTACGAAACCACTGGTTTCAAAACTGCACACATTCAGCTGATGTGTGGGCAGTTCAGCCTCACTTTCTGCAGGAAGCTGCCTTGTACACCTGAACCCAGCGGGCCTGAACTCCCCACACACCAGCAGATGATATCTTTTTTTTTTTTAAATGATATTTATTAACGTTTCAAAAAAGGTTACAAAAATAAGAAAAAGAAAAGAGAAAATACAAAATACAGAAAAAATAAAAACAATTAAAAACAAATCAATCTTTTCATGTCTTATCTTTCATTTGCTTGTTTCCCTGACCTCCTCACACCTCCCTTTTTTGTATTCAGTTAGTTATTTCAGCAAATCCTTACCCTCTTTGTTTTTATCTTAATCCAATATCTTAATATATTATAACTTTAGATTCTCACCTGTTAACAATCCATTTTTGCATACTCCTTTATAACATTGCTGCTAAAACCACTTAACTTCATTCCAACATCATTCTAACATTCATTAACATCAGCAGATGATATCAGGTGTGGGGCAGGTGAGCATGGTCTGGGGGAAATGGTCTTGTGGGACAAATAGGGAGGCCTGGCAGGCCAAATTTGACCTGTGGTCCTGAGATTGCTCATCCTTGAAGGCCTATAGGATTAGATCCAGTTTATAATAAATGTGGGAGTGAGGAACTAGTGGCCCTCTAGATCAGTGTTTCCCAACCGGTGTTCCGCGGCACACGAGTGTGCCGTGAGACGTTGCCTCGTGTGCCGCGAGATGCCTGGAGGGAGGCGGGCGAGTCGGGCGGCGAGAGGCGGGGCGGCGGCGGCGAGGAGAGGCCGCGCCTCCTGCTGCTGCCTGGCGCTCCTCCTCGCAGCCGGCAGCGCTGCCTGGGCGCCTCCGCGCGACTCTGCCTCGCTGGGTTTGGTCTCCCAGCAGAGACGGGTCACACGCGCCCCTCCCTCCCTCCCTCAGCCTGCGCGGAGGGAGAGCCAGAGAGAGGCATCGCTCCTGCGCGGCGGGAGAGGGAGCAGCCGGAGCGATGCCCCAAACGAACGCATGGGACCGGAGGGGAAATCCTCTCCGAGGTGGATTGAGCGCAGCTGAGAGAAGCCTTTCGAGGAGCTGCCGTGTCCCCTGGAAACCCCCTTCCCAGCTCTGCCTCAGCCGCCGCCGCCTCAGTTGCCGCCGTCCCTCAGTCCCTCGCTCTGCTGCCTCCTCCCACCCCCAAAGCTTGGAGGTTCCCCAGCAAGGGGGAGGGAAAAAACTTTCACTTTTGTGCGTCCTCCCGGCGTGACGCTGCGCGCTGACGTCACGGGGCGGGGCTTTAATGGTGGTGTGCCGCGAGATTTTTTTTCAGTAAACAGGTGTGCCGTTGCCCAAAACGTTTGGGAAACACTGCTCTAGATGTTGCTGGACTACAACTCACACCATCCCTCACCATTGACCATGCTTGCTATGAACAACATCTGGACAGTGACAGACTCCCCACCCCTGATCTAATGAATGGCTAAGAGACATTTCTCACAGCCTAGCTCTGTCTTCCCCAGCCTGGTGCCCTCAGATCCTTTGAATGACAATTCCCATCATGCCAGTCCAAAACACTTGGAGGGCACCAGTTTGAGGGAAGCTGAGCTAGCTCTTTTCTCCTTGGTAAACACGTATTCCAGCTAGGAGTTGATCAACACAGATCACCAAGAGACTTACCACAACATACAACATGAAAGTCTTCAGAGTGTTAACAGTCTTGTTCATTGTTATTTCCCCAGAATCCTTGTCTATTGAGAACGTGCCATCATTTCCTAATGAAATTTGAGAAAATTAGTAATCGGAACTTCTGGTCACCGGAAGAAAGAATGGGATGGGTGTAGCCGGGGGGTGGGGGTGGGGTGGGCGCTGCCCCCTATCAAGTAAATAATAAAAAAATACTTAACTGAGTGATTGTGTTGCAGATAGCTCAGTTTTGTCCTCCCAAAATAAATCCTGGCTACGCCCATGGCTCTGATACCATCACATCCAAGGCTGGATATAACTGATGACCCATGTTACCAGCTGGGATACAAGGCTCAGTGTGTGTGTGTGTGTGTGTGTGTGTGTATGCACCTGTGCCTGCCACATGGAGTAGCTTATTTAGAACACATAGAAACTCAAAAGGCCACACAGGGATTTATTAACTAAGCCTTGATTTTCCTGGAAATGTCGACAGCCAAAACATCCCCCCCCCCCCCTGTAGGTAGGCATAATCTACTCACCATCAGCAATTGCATACTCTACTTTTTCATTCAAATCTCTGTCCCCATCAATAGCATAGAGGGGTCCTGGCTCCAAGACCAAAGACTCATTCTGCAATAAACAAGGTAAATCATTTTCAGATGTTTCCAAAAATCAAAGCATTTGCTCACTTCAGGTACTTTCAGCAGTTACGAGTCTGGCTTTTAGTTAACAAGATGTTACAATAACAACATATCTGAAACAAATTATAAATTATAGAGCTGATGCTGCAGCTGGCTGATGACGAATTGGATGAAGCCTTTTTCACATATGAGTGATATAAATTTGATGATGATGATGATAATGATGTGGCTACATTCACTCTGGCTGTTTTGGAGGTCCTGGTTTGTTGAAGATGCTGTGTACCCCCATTGTTCCCATGCTTGCTCCCCACACCAGCCTGCAATCATTGCTGCTCTCTATCTCTCATGCTAAAGAGGTTCTCTAATAAGTTTGACATGAAACCTGCCATTTTGTATGTGGCCTCCAGCCTCAATGCAAGCTGTGTGCTTACATACCAAATTGTAGGTTATTACTTTCCTAGCGAACAACAAGTCCATGAGCAGCAAGCAGCCACTGTAGCCTAAAGGAGTGGCAGCCACAACAAAAAGAGTCCCATTTCCTGGTAGTAGAAGCTAATTTCATGACATGTAGAAGTATTATTTTGTCGCTGCTGTTTCTTATGTGTGAGAAGATGCTTATTGGAAGGGGTAGGCTGCTCATAGCATACCCACCACAGGCAAAATCTGCTCCTGAACCCCGCTTGTTGTATGAAAGCACACTCCTCATTGTGTTGCTGTTTGGAGTCAAACCCCAACTTGCTGGCATTGACCTGGAGTGAAGCAGAAGACCTGCGAGCAGCAGCCCTAGCATGGCTAATAGGCTTCTCTGCAGGCAACAGGAAGTTTGGCTGGCTGCTTAACCTTTCCCCCTTCTGCCACTTTTTTGGCTCAGTATTGCCCTCCCCAAATTGCCTTTTCATGTGTGGAAGGAAAGACACAGGGGAAAGATATGAGGATCCCATTTCTTTCTCCCTCATGGGCAAAAAAGCAAAAAGGGCATGTTTTTGAGCTGCTTTTTTTTTTTAAGACAGGAGGGGATGGGCAAAGCAGCTTCTGTCTGCTGTTTTATTGCTTAGACCAGTGTTTCCCAACCTTTTTTGGGCAAAGGCACACTTGTTTCATGAAAAAAATCTCGAGGCACACCACCATTACAGCCCCGTGACGTCAGCGTGCAGCGTCACGCCGGGAGGGACGCACGAAAGTGTAAGTTTCAATTTTTCCCCTCCCCCTTGCCTTCCTTCTGTGCCAACCGCCAAAAAGCCAAGAAAAAAGCCAAGACTTTAGGGCAGCAGGTCGACACGGAAGAAGCTCCTACCTAAGGACAGGTGCGACGGCCGTGTCCTCTTCTGCCACACTTGGCAGCCCTGCCTCACGGTCGTGACTCCCACCCTGATTTCTCCCCGCAGGTCGAGCGGCACAGGCAGCCCAATGTGTCCAGCCCAGACACAAGCCCCGCTTCCCCACTCTAGATCCTGAATGCGACCAAGTGCTCTGGACTCCCGAGCAGGGTGGGAAAGAGGACTCGCATCTGGTAGCCTCCGGGCTCCTCGCCTGCTCGAGGGATGGCATTGCAGGCAAGCTGCCGGCCGTCGCCATCGCCGCCCCCTCATGCGAGTGGACCTGCCCGGAGTGGTGGGCCGGGGGAGGCTCGTTCTCTATGGGGATGTGGCCCGCACGTGTGGCCCCGCTTCCTCCTGCCCAGGGCTGAGCTCCTTACCCACGATCTCGGTCTCGCGCACGCGGATCCCACTTATTCTGAAGCTCGCACCACTAGCCGGGGCTCTCACACCGTGCCAGGGCGAGGCGGCGCGGCCCACTGACGTCATCGCGGCTCGCCGCCGCCCTCGACTTCCCTGTTCCCTCCCCTCCCTCGGGTCGCCGTGGTTACCGAGGACTGCAAGCTGCTCGGGCGAGCGTGGGGCATTAAGTGGGAGAAGGAAAATTAAAATTAAAACTCGCCTGAAGGCCGCCTCTCCGGATACAGTGGTGCCTCGCAAGACGAAATTAATTCGTTCCGCAAGTCTCTTTGTCTTGCGAGCTTTTCGTCTTGCGATGCACGGTTTCCCATAGGAATGCATTGAAAATCAATTAATGCGTTCCTAGGGAAACCGCCTTCAGACCAGGTCCGGGGACAGTCTGTCCCCCAACCTCTTCTGAAGGCTGGGGGGGGGACAAGGGCTTTTCTTCCCACCCCCAGCATTTTAAAAAACCCCGGGACAGCGGAGGACTTCTCCGCTGTCCGGGGCAATCTTAAAATGCTGGCGGGCGGCATTTTAAAATCGCCCGGGACAGCGGAGGACTTCTCCGCTGTCCGGGGCGATTTAAAAGCCCCTGGGAAGGCAGGCAGGGGGGACAAAGATTTTCGCCCCCGCCCGCCTTCAGAAGAGGTCCTGGACCTCTTCTGAAGGTGGGTGGGGGCGAAAGTCTTTGCTCCCCCCTGCCTGCCTTCCCGGGAGAGCAGAGAAAGGCAGCGCATTTCTCCGCTGTCCCGGATGGCTTTTGAAGGTCCTTGACCTCTTCTGAAGGCGGGCGGGGGCGAAAGTCTTTGCTCCCCCCTGCCTGCCTTCCCGGGAGAGCGGAGAAAGGCAGCGCGTTTCTCCGCTGTCCCGGACGGCTTTTGAAGGCAGGCTTTTGAAAGCCGTCCGGGACAGCGGAGAAACGCAGCGCGCCCTTGCCGCTGCCCCCCGACTTGGCTGGAAGGCTGGCGGGGGGAGAAGCCTGCTCCTCCCCATCGCCAGCCCCGCAAACTCGGGGGACAGCGGGAGAGGCGCAGCGCGCCCTTGCCGCTGCCCCCCGACTTGGCTGGAAGGCTGGCGGGGGGAGAAGCCTGCTCCTCCCCATCGCCAGCCCTGCAAACTCGGGGGACAGCGGGAGAGGCGCAGCGCGCCATCCCGCTGTCTCCCGACATGGTTTGGAGGCTGGCGGAGGGCTTCCTTCTCCCCCAGCCCCGCAAGCTCCCAGAGCGATGCCAAAGCTGCGCGCAGCTTCGGCATGGCTCTGGGTCCCGTTCTGGGGGAGGGGGAAGCTCGGGCTTCCCCCGCCCCAGCCCCACGCCTGGCGGTGGGGGAATAATTTTTTCCCCCTTTATTCCCCCCCCGCCAATTTTTCCCGCGGCACACCAGGCAACGTCTGGCGGCACACTAGTGTGCTGCGGAACACCGGTTGGAAAACACTGGCTTAGACATGCTTTGCCACAGACTGCAATGGGTTAAAGGAAAGTGGAGGCAAGAACCAAAGATGTAGTTTGAGCCTCATGCAAAGTGTGTTTAGTTGGGTTGTAAAAGTTGTAATGTTGCATAGAAGTTTTTTTCTACCCCAGCTATTTTTCTCAGGAATAGCCAGTGCCCTTTTGGTATTGGCACCAATTCTGTTCCGGGTTTGATGCGGCAGGCAGAGGTGGTGCTTAGTTCCAGGGCACTCCTGGGCTGATCTTTGAGTCCATAGACTGCAAAGACAAAAAGAGTCCTATAGAGGAGCAAAGCAAAATTAAGTGAGGCATCCTGGGCTGGACACAGCCTAAGGGTTCCTTGTGCATACCATATTCTCTGAGATGTTGACCTTGCCAGTGTAGCCCTTGTTGATGCATATTATATTCCCTCCAAAAGTAGTGCATGGCTGGAACCAAGGAGGTCTCCGGTCAGCCTGCAGGATATGTATGGTTATTGTTGCAGTGGCTGTGTGTGGAGCTTCACCGGCCTTCCCATCCTATATGAAAGAAAAATGAAGGACAAAAACAAGAAATGGGAACATGTCCATTATAACAGCAGCACCAAAACAATCCCTAGCACTATACTTGCAAAACCCACCAGGGCAGGTTACCTTGTCAGAAGTTCTGAGTTCAAGTAGCTGCATTGATTCATACCAGCCAAATTAAATAAATTCATTTAAAGGCAATACCTCTGATCAAAGGTCATGAGTGCACCCTACGGGAAACTGATAGTCCAGCACCAATGTGTGATTTTATTTGTTTAAAACGTTGGCATACTGCTTTATAGTTAAAAACAGAATGCAATGTACAGAAATAAAAAGAGTGGGAGGAATTCAGCATTGAGATAAGGCAGTCGTTCAACCAGGGCAAGCATTTGGGGTTGCTAGATGGAACGATCCCTCCCTGCCTCCCCACTTGCACGGTTCTGGAAGCCCTTAGTTGAATACCACCCAGTGCAATAAAAAAGACACAATTTGTTATGATATAACATTTGCAATAATACAGTAACCACAGTGGCTGGCCACATGCAGCAGTCAATATTCATGGCCAGGAAACTCCTGGGTAAACAAGTATGTTTTCAGCATGATCTTTCTTATGCATTTCAGTGAAGGGGGAAGCTCTGCAAACACTTTTATTTAAATATTTGGATCTCTGCACTGAAATGACTGAGAAAGCATTTGCAGAGCAAGGAACTGTGTGTGCGCATCAGAGCTCTTATACCTAGGCCAGACTTCTGGGATGTGGGGGCCTGGCAATTGTCAAAATTGCCAGTGGCAACCCTGAAAGCACAAGGGCATTTATCTGGTGAATGTGGAAACACACGTGCAGCAGGGCAGTTGCAAATAAACATATATTTTGCTCATGATAAAACTCACCATAGCATATAAGACAAACTGCATGTAGTTAATTTTTTCATAATCCAAGGTTTTGAGCAAGTAAATTTGCGGGTTATTAACTCCTTCAATGTTAAAATACTCCAGTCCTACCTAGAAGACAAGAAGAGATAGTGACACACTCTTCATCACAGATATGGAACCTAATGCCATTTCAAAAACACTGTTCAGTGTCAAAGGTATTGCTTATTGTTGCATGTTTCGACGCCTGAAGTGACTGGGTTATGGAAAATATATGATCTCTGGTTTCTTACTGGTACAATGGAGTTTTCATTTAAATCCTTTTAATTAAGGCTTAGAGTGTGAAAACTATGCTCGACCCATGTGTATTTTAACTGTGTGTTAGACACTTCTAATTCTCTGGAATCAGCATGCATCAAAAGCTAATGATGCCAAGGTCATGTTTACTGTGATGTGTCAATAGCTAATTAAGCCAGGACTAGCCTCCGGTGTGAGGTGATAGCCTGGGCTAATGGACTATTAGGACATCAAAGGATTAATGGAACTGGGGGTGGAACACCAATTGAGTAGGGTCCCCATCCTCCACAGATAAAGAGAGAGTGGAAGCAACTGAAGCAATGTAGGCTGGAAGCTTAGGAGTGAGGTAACACAGATAGTAAAGCAGTGGAGAGAGAGCAAGCATAATGTTTTATGTTTATTTGGATTCAGGGCTGCAGCTATGGGAGAAGCAAGGCCCTTTTGGAATGTTAATGCTTTGAACCCTGCCATCATAGGCTCAGGTTGAATATATGTGCAAATAAACCATATATCCTAAAAACACCACAGTCTCTGCTGTGCCCCATTTCCAAAAGGAAACATAGACCCTGGGTAAGCACACCTGGAACCCCTGGAATCTCGCATCACTTGGAGATTGCAGTGGCATGCAACAGTATTAATGGCATGCAACAGTATTAACGATGCTTAGAGTGGTACATTTGGGAGGGATCCCACAGAAAAACAGCCTCTGTCCTAAGGGAGGCTAGACTCAGATGTGCCGTCAGTGCAGGGCTTTGGAGCAGAATCTCAGGGCCCCATTCCATAGACTGAAGTCTTGTTCACACTTTTGCTTGTCCCATACCTAGAAAGCGTGGCTCCGAGTGGTTTTCTGCTTCTCCCATGCATTCCAGGCCTGGGTGGGTCTGAGTGGTTTTGCCTTTGCCCTGCTGCTTTCCCTCAGAAAACCTGCTCTTTAGTTCTAAATCAGAGCAAACGTCAATCTGGAGAAAACCCCAACTGATGTTTGCTCGGATTCAACGGTAAACATTGGGTTTCCCTGAAGGAAAGCGGTGGGACAGGCGGAAGTCTGGATGAGCCCTGAATGGGAGGGCCCTCAAACTCAGCATGTTTTGAATTAAGTGAACAAATACACATTTCCACTGAAAGAGCTCCACTAAAACTACCTGTCTGCACCACTGGCTATACCAGGCATAGGCAAACTTTGGCCCTCCAAATGTTTTGGACTACAATTCCCATCATCCCTGACCACTGGTCCTGCCAGCTAGGGATCATGGGAGTTGTAGGCCAAAACATCTGGAGGGCCAAAGTTTGCCTATGCCTGGGCTATACTAACTCCCCAATTATATACTAACTGGCGGATCTGCTGTAAGGTTGTAATATATTGTGTCTTTGTCAGCGTCCTTAGCTGTTACATTAGCCTGGGGCACGACAGTCGTGTTCACTGCTATATCCTGAAAAACAAAACAAAAAAAGGATCATCATTTTGAGCTATTTTTTGTCACATGTAATTTACAGCAGATAGGTAATTTACTAGGTAGATAAGTAGCATGCACACAATTTTCTCAGAAGGCCAAAGTAGGTCACAACATTCAAATGCAATCTAGAATAAAGGAGCAACGAGTTCCTTGCAGAATCCTGAGCCAAAATGAAAAGGACCACAATTGACATGTATGCTTTTCTCATAATGCGAAGCTGTGATGAGGAAGCCTAAGGAGTCTTGGGGACCATGGTGCGGTGAGGCGTGGAGTTTAACATCCTCCCACCTCTCTCTATTTTCCTCTCCTAAGCTGCTGTTGGCATTTTTTGAAAGCACTTCCATTCCTGCCTATGGAAGCTGTGCAGGATCCTCCTCAGCTGTTATTTGGATTTACATAACCCCCCCCCCCAAAATGTGTGTGTTGACTTTGTTCATATAGTTATAGCCTCACATCTAGCTTGGCACTATACTAAATGCATAGGCACGTAGACATATGCTTTCCCATTTTTAATACTGTATTTGCATCCTGTCGCTTCTGCAAAAACCTCACAGCAGCATATAGTTCTCTCCTCCCAACCTACATTTCCCCCTCACAATAACCTTGTGATGCAGGTTAGATGGAAAGAGAGTGACTGGTTTAAGTGCACCCCATGAGCTCACTGGGGATTTGAAGTCAGGTCTCCCCAGTCCAGTCCTAGTCTTTCACCAATCCCCCTATTGGCCTCTTTATACTTTGCACTAAGTGAGAGAGAATTAATGGTTTATCACATAAGGCACAATGGAATAGAACCATACAACAAGTTATCACATGCAGAGGGGAGTCTGCATTGTATTTTAAAACTGAATGTGTTTGGCTTCATCATTTTAAAGATTCAGTGTGACGAGATTCTGTGTGGGATAATGATGAGGATCTTATCTAGTGTAAAAGAGAGCTATTGTTCCCTTCAGTCAGAATAGGAGAAGCTTGCATTTGACTATTAATAACTTTATTGTAGAGGGGATACCTTTATCTAATTTTACATTTAGTCTTTTCATGTTTAAATTGCTATAAGAAGAGTTCTCTGTATTTTATATTAAATAAAGGAGTAAAACCTCATGTATTACAGATACATGATTTTGCTGGCAAAGGAAGTAGGCGGCATTATAAATTACAACATAGGAGTTCTTTACAATACTAGTACCAGATTAGGATGCTATCCCTTTAGAAATATTGCTAAATAAAAATAAACCGGGATATGATAGAGTTATTTGAACAGTGCACCCAATATTTTAAATGAACAGCTACCCCTATTTTCTGAACGAACTTCTCAATTTGAGGTTGGAAATCCATTGTGCACTGTAACTAGTCACTGAAGGAGACCTGAGGGTGGAAATGTATTTGGCATCTTCTATATCCTCCCCCCTTATGTTAATTTGCATACAATTGTATCTATGGCTAACAAAGTGGACATTACTGTTTGAGCAGTTTTTATGAACTTGTTTCAAAGAAAATATTTAGTGAGCTTAATAGTGTAATAGAGTTGTAATCTATATTTCTCTCTTAACTCTCTTGGATATTTGTTTGTTATTTTGGAATTAAATTGGAAACAGCAATAATATGTTATGGTTACGTATCATTTCTATTTCATTGTGTTATGCTTAATATTTGTATTTAAATGTTTATACAAGGTTTTATTCTTCCCAAGATTATGGTTCTGTCAGAATTATAGCTACAGTCCATTGTCACTTGTTGCAGAGACATCATCATCATCATTGTCATACCTCTCGAACATTGACAGTGATGTTGGTTTCTGGAAACACAGGAGGGTTGTCATTCACATCGATTATGTTCACTACAACAGTAATACTATTTACCTGTTGGTGAGCAAAGCAGAATAATGTTAGTAATTGATTGACTGTTGAAATGCTGAAAATCAGGGGTGATGCTGGTGATGTTAGAACTATGGTCTTAAAAAAAAAAAAAAATGTTGGGTGGCCTTCTTGGCTTCACACATGAACTACGCTTGAAAATGACAATAATCCAAAAAGTTCAACCCAAGACATGTCTGCAGAAGCAAGTGCCACTGAATTCAAATATGTTGCATTACTTATATTTAAAATGAAATAAATTTAGCAGTTTCAAGTGTTTTGTGTTTGACTTTTTTTTATACAAGACACCTGTTTTTTGAAAATTGAAATTATCAAACAAAATTGAGGAGGGGGGGGAGCACTGGCCCCACCCCTGGCACGCCATTGACAAGGGATGGAGAGAAAGAGAAGAGGGTGAAGGAGGCAAAGGGTGTATCGGAGATAGAGGGTGTGTGTGACCATGTCTACCATTGGCTTCAGCCACACCCACACTTGGCATGCAGCCCCTGGCGGATTAGTTGCTGAGGGAATGTGGTTCTCTTGGGAAAAAACTCTGGACCTAAATGACCTTGCAGAGAAGTGTCTCCCACTATGGTTGTGCAACATCTAACAACACAAAGTAGCATTTCAGATATTACTCACGACTATATCCGCTCTGAAGCACTGCAGTTCTACAACTAGCGCTGTTGAAACCTGTATTAAAAACAAATGATTTCAATTAAATCATGCTTTTGTGGCACATTTTTAATTTTTTTAAATTTTTATTTTTTAGCTCTTGGTGCTGCCTGATAGGGTCTTCCTTGTAGCGGCTCCCTGTTTATGGAATGCCCTCCTCCTGAAGCACATCTGCTTTCATCATTATTAACATTCAGGAGGAATATGAAAATATTCCTGTTCACCCAAGCATTTGATGGCTGAAGTATTATTACCCATGAGGATATGTGAAATAATAATAAAAAATTAGATGTTTTTAACATTTTTGCCTACCCTGATCTGTTAGGATGGCGTACATCAGAAGAAACTAAACAAATGTTTATACAGTGGTACCTTGGTTCTTGAATGGCTTGGCTACCGAACAAATCGGCTCCTGAATGCCACAAACCCAGAAGTGAGTGTTCTGGTTTGTGAATGTTTTTTGGAAGCTGAATGTCTGACGCAACTTCAGCGGCTTCTGCTTGAGTGTAGGAAGCTCCTGCAGCCAATCGGAAGCCGCGCCATGGTTTTCAAATGGTTTCGGGAGTCGAACCAAGTCCCAGAACAGATTAAGTTTGAGAACCAAGGTACCACTGTACTAAGAATCACTGCTGGTAGTTTTCACACAAAGGTTTTTCACCCCAATTAGGTTTATAATGTGACTAAAAACCCCCAACATTGACCAGAATTCCTGTTTGAATTACAAAAGCCTCTCTTCCGCTCTAAGTTCTCTATTTAGTAACTATCTCATACATACATAAAAAGTGAAAGAGGTGCTCAGAGGCAGTTTAATCATCACACTTGAAAATACCCCATAGCCTTCAAATGAAGAAGCATTACCTGCATGTAATGATGGCATGCAAATTGGCTTTCATCTATCACATGACGCATGCTGCCTGGTAGAAAGCCTGTTTGCATATCTACCACTTTGAGGAACACTTTATGGAACAGGGAAGGGAAGCCATCTTGTCTGTTGCCTCAGGCAATAAAGTAAGCCCTTTGCCTTACACTGCTCTGGCCAAAAGAATATAAAAGCTCAGAGAGAATGGACCTTTGCAAGGCACTTGTTTTCAGTGTTTTAATTAAGGCTATTAAATAGCTTTAACATATTTGGATAGCTATATTCAGGTTATGACTGTACTGCCCTGATTCACTTCCACCTCACCTTACCACGTTTCTAGATAGGAGTCTGTCTGGCTACCATTACTGTCATAGATGCTTTAGCTGAGATTCCTGCATTTCAGGGTGTTGGACTAGATGACCCTTGGGGAACCTTCCAACTCTAAGATTCTCTGATTCTATGCTATTAACCCCCCAGCCATATTTCTGCATCTTTTTCATACCAGTTCATTACCTCATAATCCACTGAATTTTTCAGGAGCAGTTGTGAGTTCTGAATCTCAAACTGGTCACCATTCAATACCAATGGGTTAATTCTTACTGTGACACCGACAGCTGCGTTAATGTTGGTAATCAAAGCCCCAGGAGGATTATTCTCTTGGATATTAACAACATTATCTTGCACACCACAATCTAGTGAAACAAAAGACAATATTTTAAATCTCCCAAAGCACAAGCTTAGTCAAAAGAAGGCATTAGATCAACTAGTGCTTTGTGTATTCTAGTCCAAGAATTTGTCTGGGACAAATATATAGGAAATATCATATAACTCAGACAGTGGTGGACCTACATTTTGGGGGCCCTGAAGCTTGAACTGTCATGGGGGCCCCTTTGCAACCAGCAACAAGGTCTGGGTAACCCCATTTATCTTATTCAATGAGGTTGTTCCACAACAGATCACCACACCTTTACAACAGCTGTGCTATTGGCTCTCAAACACTGGGATTGTTGAAATATAGGAGAAGGAGAAGGAGAAAGAGAAAGAGAAAGAGAAAGAGAAGGAGAAGTTTGAGTCATGCGACTCAAATTGGGTCTATTAGACCCAAAGATTTTAAGCAATGTGGACTTAAATTGCTTCTGGGGCCCCTCCAGGATTACGGGCCCTGAAGCCTTAAGCTTCATTAGTTTCATAGCAGATTCGCCCCTGAACTCAGTAACAGGCAGGTGTAAGACAATCTGCCTAATAATCTTTCTTACCCACTTGATATCTAGATATATGCATGTGAAGGTATAGTCTTTCAAATGTTAGCAAATAGTTAACTTTGCCAACATCTTATAACCATATAACTTGGGACAAACCCAACATCGTGTAAAAGGATTCCTCTTCATATCATTAATTCCTTTAACTGATTTCCAGTTCTTAAGTAAACTCCAGACATCATAGTCAAAAAAGTCCCATCATTCACCTCAACCATGCGTATCCCCTATTTTTTTTGTCCATGTAATTAATTATAAATCAATTATTCAAATGATAATTAACAAGAAAAAAGCCCTTTCTTTTGAAATGGCCACCTTCTTGCCTGTGTGATAATTTGGCCATTCAAAGGTCTGCTACAAAATGCATCTTTCATTAGAATATTAGAAAGGTTATATAGATTCTGGCTGACAGGAACCAAACCATGCTACAACCTATGCTTGGAATACGCACGGCATTCAGGCTGCGATCCAAGGCACACTTCTCCAAGAGTCCTATGTGGTAGGACATACTTCCAGTGAAACAGGTACCAGCTTGTGCTGCCACCTGTGGCAATTGTTTTTCTACTGGTATATCCTTTTATATTAAAAAAAAATCAAACCAACCCAAATCAAAGTTTTCCCCCCTACCCAGAAAACATACTGACCTGAATTCTGTGCCTGAACATGAATTGCTGACAGCAAGAAGAAAAGGACCCAGGTACAGGACTGCTTGAAGAAAGCCATTGGGCAGGTGGAAAAGAAATCCAAAAATTAAGGAATGCCGACCATCCACTTTTCTTCGTTAATTGTTGCAGTGTATCTTCCTTTCACTGTTCCATGAGGAAATAATGTGGCAAATGATACTGAGCTGACACAGTCGTTTAACCTTTGCATCCTAGCTTATTGATTCACTTATTTATGACTTGCTTACTGTTACCAGTTCCTGAATGCGATAAGTGGATGGTCCCGCTTTGCTGTTACACATTACGTAACACTTGCATGTGGCTAGGACCAAGGGTAATGGGTGATGCTGAACGGAAGAGGGTGGGCCATTTTACAGAATGGAAGACGGCGAGTCATTTCACACATACCCTCCAAAAAATATCTGAATGGGCTACACAGGGTGTCAAAAATATTCAAACAATGCTTGAAACCAGGCAGTGTGGTGCCATTTAGAGAGAGTCAGGGACCTATTCACAGGTTTTTAATACCCAAGCTAAGCCCCAAGAACTCATAAAGTAAAAACAAAGATGAATATTGCTCTGAGCATGTGCAGAGTGCCTTTGCTGAACTTTAGTAACATATTTGGAAAGAAAAAGAAAGTGCGACAGCAAAACTTCAGGGGAAACTTCAGCATTTCTCATTTAGGAGATTTCCAAAGAGAGGGATTGTGAATCTCACTCTGATCTTCAAACTTTAGATCATAGCAACTGCGAAGTGCTTTGAAGTTCTGTGCCAGGGAAGCAGATCATTTCTTCTCTCTCTCTTTCCGCAAGACTATCAGAATAGGATGCAAAGGTCATTACAGTGCTTGTGATCATTCAGCATGGCAAAGTTTCCTCTCTGTTGGGAGACTTTGTTACTATTTTTTTTTGTAGTAAATCTTTTCCTAAGGGAATACTTTTGTCATTACTCTGTAGTTAGGCCTTAATATGTGCTGTGGGGTAAGCCTTACACTTGTTTCTCCTCTGCTGTGTCAATATTTCATGTTTTAAAGTGCTTTTTGCTGTTTCTTTATATGTTGTTGCAGATTTGGGGTGGTCTCTAAACCCTAGAAATTAATAAATGCTAGAATTTTGATTATTTCAGATGTGAAGGGAGAAATACAAGCTGCAGAAGAATTCCTGAGCTAGCCTATGCAAAATGACCTGGCCAAGGTAGGGCTATTAAGAAACAAACAGAGTCATTGGCAATACAGTGGACGCTCGGGTTGCGAATGTGATCTGTGTGGGAAGCATGTTCGCAACCCGCAGTGCCTGCAACTGCAGTGCCGTGTCTGCACATGCATGGGTCGTGATTCGGCACTTCTGCGCATGCGCAAAGTGCCGAAACCCAGAAATAACTCGTTCCGGTACTTCTGGGTTTGGTGCGGTGCGCAACCTGAAACATCTGTAACCAGAGGTATGACTGTACTGTACAAGAAAACTATCCTTCCCCAGAGGTGTGAACCGGGGGGGGGGGAGGTATGGAATGTTGCCAGGGTAACTGAGTGTGAAGTGTCCAGAAAATAGAGTTTTAGCAAGGTGTGCTGGGAAGAAGGGGCAGAACAAAGGGAGAGCCATCTTGGGCAGGTTGGCTGAAGCCTGGGAGAGATGCCTTTGACTCCAGGGCTGCACTGCTGTGGGGGACAAGCCCTGCTTGAGATGACCATGTTGTGAGATCTGGACTCCCTCCATGCAAACTGAAAGTGTAAATAGGTGGATAAGTAATATTTCTTAAAGCTACAACAGTTTCTGCTGCGTCTTCAATTCTCCTAAGGAGCACAAACCTTGGGTGAGCATCTGGAACCCCCTGGTACCTTGCTGAATCCCAGACTGAGATCCTTTACCCGGCACGCATATAAGTATGAAATATAGATGACATTGATACTGTAGTTTCTCATGATTGAAGCAGCTTTTCATTATTTCCCAGGTAGGTGAGAACATCTGTTCACACTATACATTTTGTTACCTTTCAATGCCAGGGTTCTTCCACATGAGGGAATGTTCCAAAAGTCTAATTTACCCAGGAAAATGCAGCTAGGTTTATAAGATAACTGTCACATGCAACAAAAATAATACTAATAACAAAAGAGCTGTGCTATAGTTTCTTTATTTGATTTTGGAGAAGATGAAGACAAGAGGAAGATAAATAATTTTAGACTCTACCATAAGGCGTATAAATGCCAGAGTCTTTCATTCTAAGTCCCATTCCTTTTGATTTATGCAATCCTTACTAACTTATTTCCACAGTTTGTTTTCCCCAATCATTTAATCCACACATGAAAAACAGAAGTTGCAATTTATTTTTTTGAAGATCCTCACAGAGCTGGATGCTTCATTCCTGATTTTCATCTACTGTTGCTCCAGATACTGCTTCATTTATTTCTGCAATCAGTTGGCAAACCGAGCGGCTCATTATCTGAGTGGCTTCCTCTGCATCATTGCCTGAAAAACTGCCATGAGAGAAATGCAGGTCAAATATCAAGCAATAGTTCACTGGCCAGCATTCCTGGAACATTGCCTCCTCAATCTGCTCATTGAATCTGGAAAGTCTTGTGAATGAGTTCTAACTGACTGACTAATCTACCCATCCTTCATGTTCATAATCAGAAAATTACTTGTCGTCTTCCTATTCCCCCCCCCCATTGCCTTGTCTATTTCTTAGTATTTCCTCCCTCCACTTTATCATCTATTCTTCCTTCGCCCCCTACTGTTCCTGACTTGAAGCACATGTAGCAAGGCACTGCTTCCCACAGATGCTGTGGGGAGAGGGTTGGGGAGAGGTAGCCCTAGAGTAACAGTAAAATCGGCCAAGGAAATAGTGTAATAGCGAGGTGAGATGACCAGAGCTGTACACAGTATTCCAAATTCAGTTGCGCCATAGATTTGTGTAATGGCAGTTGAATTTTCAGTTTCTTTCCTAAAGATCCCTAGCATGGAATTTGCCTTTCTCGTAGCTGTCACACACTACATAGACATCTTCACCAAGCTATCCATTTTGATGCCAAGTTCTCATTCTTGGTTAGTCACTGCCTCTTCAGATCCTAATAGCATCTATGCATCACTTTACACTTGTTCACTTTGAATTGCATTTGCCACTTTACCGCCCATTCACTCAGTTTGGAGAGGTCTTTTTGCAACTCTTCACAATTTCTTAAAAAAAAAATAATTCAAGACCTTGAACAATTTAGCAAACTTAGGCACCTGGATCCCTTTGTAAAAAACGGTGTTCCATTGGCTACTTCCAAGTCTCACCTTGCATCAAGGTTCTGTACAAATTGCAAACAAGTCTTCAGTTTAATGAGTTTTTCTTCTGAAGTCCACAAGTCATCTGTGTTTTTATCAGTGAAGCCAGATTCATCCTTTACTCCAGATGAGACACTAATGCACAAGAAAGCAAGGTCAGAGATGAGAGGGCACATTCTGCTAAGAGGCCACTTTGGGGGTTTTCTTTCTGCTCTAAAGACACTCATCCCATCCACTCAAAAGGAAGGTGCCTTGTTATTTTAGAATGTAAATTCACAAAAATTAAATACATCTTTGGAAAAAGCTTCTTTCTTACAAAGTAGCTTTATTAACCTTGCAATTTCTCCTCTCTCTGAAGACTGATTCATGTCCACAAAAGCCTAAAGTGTATTGGGATGAAAATATCTAAGTCAGTTCTGGCCACTATATTTTGCCATTCTGGTGTATATACTCTTACCGTTGAGTATCCTTTTGAATGCATATTCAGTTAAAATATAATAAATATGTGAATGAAAAGTGTTCATGCTAAAATGCAAGGGAAGGGAAGATGGAGCAGAAAAGCAGATGGTGTTTTATGCTTCCTGGCTGCCACTTCACCCCAATCTGCTCTTCCTCCCAGGAGTCTATGTGCATGTGTGAATGGTGAAATGTACATCTGAAACCCTATGGCAGAACAAAACATAGGGAGAAGGAAATCGGCAAGGTGTCCAGGGACGAGCTAAACCCTTCCCATCCTGCCACTTCCCTGCTTCCCTCCTGCTGGTGCTTTGCAGCAATAAAGTGACCCATCAGAATTTCCTTATCGGTGTTCACATGTGGCATCTAACTGAGGCATCAGTTTGAGCCCACACTGCAGAAATGGAAAATGTAACACCCAGTTATCCCTACCTTGTGTGTGCCGCTCCTTACATCAGGGGTCTGCAACCCGCGGCTCCGGAGCCGCATGTGGCTCTTTTACACCTTTGCCGCGTCTCCGGGGCGGATACTAGCGAGGGGAGGAGGCGCATTGTGCGCCCCAACACTCCCCACTGTGGCGGGCGCTGTACTGGCTGTGACGTCGCATGGGGGCAGTGTGTGCGTTAGTCACGCACCGTCCCGACGTCACCTTCCCGCCCGCTGTCAGATTGCGGCTCCGGAGATATATTTGTTTTAAATGTCGCAATGGTTTTGCGGCTCCCAGTTTTTTTTCCTTCGGAAACGGGTCCAAGTGGCTCTTTTTGTCTTAAAGGTTGCAGATCCCTGCCTTACATGAACCAACCTGGAGTCTCCATTCATCCTGCGTTCCCACCTCCAAGGAACTTTCAGAGGCTGGCAACATGGGAACAGGTAGAGGCATTGCATCCTGTTTCACTGCTTGAGGCAAAACGAGAAGTAACACTCTGCAGCTGCGGCACTGCTTCAGAGGTGATAGGGCAAGGGGGCTTCTGCTGCCTGAGGCAGTGGCTTCACCCCACCTAATGGCTGCGCCAGCCCTGGGAACAAACCTTCTCAGTGGTGGCTCCCCATTTGTGGAATGCTCTCCCCAAGCAGGCATGACTGGTGCCATCTGTTTTTAAGCCCCAGGTGAAAACATGTTTATTTTTCCGAATCCTTTGGAGCTTAACTCTCAGCATATGTTTAGTGGGGTGGGGTTGAGCTGGCTCTTTTATGATTATTCTTGTGTTTTTAGTTTGTTTTTTCATCTTGTTTTATATCTGTTTTTAATGTTTGTTTGTTGCTTAAGTAATAACTCTGAAAGTTCTCAAATCTGCCTCCCATTTCCATGCACCTTATATACACTTTTGCACCACACTCCTAACACTATCTACTAATTTTCTACTGATTTCCTGCTTCTGATCTTCCAAGAGAGTCCCAGCGTTGAAAATCAGCCTACACATACTGTATATGGCGACCCTTCATATGCTCCTGACCTATAGTTTGGGGACTT